GATCCCAAGTCATTTAGATAAGTCTCCCCCTCCCTGACCTTTCTTCACTCACACACCCTGTGCCCTCTTTCCCAGCCTCCCTGCACTCACGCACATATGTGCATCCACCAGCACCCTTCGTCCCAGACCTCCCTGCCCTTAAAAGCACCCTGTGCCCTCTTTTCACAGCCTTCCCATTCTTGCACACACCCCACCCACTCCTTTCCCAACCTTCCTGATTTTGTACTTCATCACAATATCTCCCTTCCCCATCTGTGGCCAACTTCCAAGGTCATTCTCACATTCCTTTACATCTTGTGAAGGGACATTGTGCTTCATCATTTTGCTGCCTGTGTCTTCTGTTCCTTTTTAGCTTGAAGGAAAGCTTAACAACACATCACTAAAACCAATTCTAACAATATTCTGAAGCCCCTGAAATCAAGGTAGGAATATTGTGAGCCCCTTTGCAGGAGAAGAAAACTTTCAGGAAGCTAGAGGCCAGATTTCAGCACTGCATTAATCTCCTTTTCCTCCAGGTCCCTCAGGGTTGGTCCCGTGTCAAAAGGGGAAGCTGAGTATTAAAATCTACAGAAAGTTAGCAGAGGCAATGATGTGTTTAGTAAATTAACTATGTCAAAGTTTCTTCAAATCTCAGGGGACAGAATCTCCTGCCACAGATGGATGTATAGACAGGGCAGCAGTTGGCAACCAGAGGACTGAGCACTGGGCAAACTTAATCCACATATTTCACAGGGGAGACTTAGCTGGCCTTTTAATGGAGGCCTCCCTCTGGAGCCCAACACAAATCTCAGGCATTGTTCCAGAGCAGAAACTAGTGGATTATGATAGGTCCAGAAAGGGTGATAGAATATGGGCTAAGAATATTGGCATTCTGTGAAAATGTCTCTTGTGCTAGAAAGGAAAATAAAAGGAAGCACATTTAAACTCTGTATTTCAACCTTTTTTGTCTGTGGTGCTAATTGGTTCTCTAAGGATCAGGGAGCTAGAAACCAGTTTTGTTTTCTTATGTATTTTTTTTCTCCTGATGATCTGCAATTATTCAGAGAATTAGGTTGCTCTCTCCTGTTGCTGCCTTTTTTCATCACTCAACAGTACCTCCAGCTTTTAGGCTCATCTTCCACAAGTAGATCCAGTCAGTTTAGTTAGGTAGCTAAAGTTTATTACAGGCATAGCCTTGTATGTTGGTCTACATCACAAAGAACCTCCCTTCAGCATGGTGAGCCATGCTGTTTGGATAGGATAGGATTTTCAAGGTAACCAAAAAGTACCAGGTTGAGAGTGACTGATTTTGATTTGAAAGGAAGAATTCACTCCTTTAGCTAAATTAGGAGAAATATTTCAGAAACCTTCATTTACTGCCTTCTGTTACAGCATTTAGTTCTTTCAGTACATTGTTGACAGACATTGAAAAAATACTGCAAAAAGGCTGTCTCAATAGTATTTTGCTATCAAAAGATATTCACAGATGTGTACACCTCCCCATATGCATTAGGAAGAGTTATTATTCCAAGACTTCTTTTTTACTTAGGTTTCATCAGGGTGAATGTCAGCATTTTCAGTGACCTTATCTGGACTCAGAAGTTGAGCAGGTTCAGTCTAGTTAATTCTTAAGCAGAAATCCATCCAAGAATGTCAGAGCTGAAATACTAGGAATTCTAAAAAAAAATCCCATTAAGTGAGAATGGGAAACCATTTCCATAATGTTGCTGGATACTTATCCATGAAATCATGAGAAATCAAGCTGGATGAAGATGAAGCATCATTTTTTTTATCACAGTAAATATTTACATATAGTCCTCAACTTACAACAGTTCATTTAGTGACTGTTCGATATATATATTATATATATTCGCTTACCAATTGTGCTACTAATTTAACAACTGCAGTGATTCACTTAGCAACTCTGGCAAGAAAGGTCATAAAATGAGGCAAAACTCATTTAACAAATGTTTCATTTAGCTATAGAAATTTTGGGCTCAGTTGTACGTTGAGGTAATATTGTCAATATGTACATGCAGAAAAGGTTTTATTTTGAAAAGAATGTAATAAAATGAGGAATTGAAACCTTTGATGGACTATACATATATGCCGCTGTTTGTGCTCAGGGATACAAAAATTAAGGCAATAAATTAAGCAATGGAGGTTTCTTATTTTGAAATGCAGGTTTTTAATGTTTATAAATTAATCACACAGAGTCACCTTGAGATAGGCAGTAAATAAATTTAATAATTAATAAATAAATGATCCCGGACAATTCAGCATTCATTATTCCAAAAAGAAATTTATTTGAAAGTATTTTTGCAAGCTTCCCTTTTATACATCTCTCTTTATCTCCTTGATTGCTGCATGGATGCCTACCTGGGTATATAATGCCTGTGCACAGAATATACAATCCATTTTCACCTCATTTATCTGATTCACAACCATTTGGCCCTACAACCAAGAAACGTTTGACAGCATTACAAGAAACATTCAGCCATGAAAGCCTGATGGGGTTTTTCCCCACAGTGATCTTATTTCTTGGCTTACCTGCATTTACTTAAGCCTCTAAGTCTTATGGCTCCTACAACATAGGTTCCTTTTTGTGTCTCTCCTTCAAGATCATGTTTCATCATGACTACCATTCAGGTGAGGTCTCTCTGGTTTTAAGTAAATTTAACTGAAAAAATTCACCTTGAAGTTTATTGCCTCATATAGCAAGAGTGGGGGAGATTTGCTGTAAATCCTAAAGAGAAACTTGGTTAGATCTCTGAATGGAGAGGTTTCTAGTAATGGGAGGGAACCTTGGCATTTTGTGCAGGTCCATTTTCACCAATTAATAGCAAACTCAGGGATAAGCGTCTTGTTAGTTTGGAAGAAAAATTGAACAACCCGTAAAGAATACAATGGTTTCTTTATGTTTGAGGAAACATCCTGGATGTTCAAATATCAGTAGGCTTTGTAAGATCTGGCTATTCTCATTGGCTTTCAGGATGCCTAGAACATTGAAAATACCAGTTGAAACAATAATAATAGTTTGGGGTGGGAGTGGGAGTGGGGTTAAGCTGAATTAGCTGCCTGATTAATATTGTTGATTGGCTGGAATCCCTTGATCAAAATAATTTATAACAAAGGGTGTCATACTATATTCTAGATCCCTTGGAATACTAGTTTTATGTTGCAATTTGGCTTTGTCAAGCTTCTTTCTTTATCTTCCTGGCACTTGCAGAAGACTTTTTTATCTTATGAATGGATATACTTTGCACATGAATCTATTATGAAATATATCCTGCGGACGAAGAACTGAAGTCTGGGAAGTTATAAATCAGCCAAGGAGCACATCAAAAACTGAAATGCACCCAATGAATTTTATGGGCTTAAGACAGGCTTCTTAAACTGCGGTGCTGTGATCCCCCTAAAATCAATGAATTTGTGTCATACTCATACAAATCAAATGAATGATCTGTCCATTGATCTTAGTGATCTCCACATTAGGTAGTTATGTGAGTTCCACTGTATAGGTAATATGTTAAAAAGTCAAATATTAAACAAGCTAATAACTGGGAGGAAACCATTTTAAATGACACAATTAAATATGCTTATTTTCAACCACACTGGATAAAAAATAACTAATATATTAAAATCTATCATTGATACATTGAATTTGGGATGTTAATATGATTCAAATTGAAGGGTAGCAATTCAGCCTTCTCCTAAATTGTTATCCCC